GAGAACCTGCAGGATGTGGTCAACTATAGAAGTCAATCAGGCATTTTTGGCAGGTCCTCATCTGTGTGTTCCCTATGCACTGGGGTCTTGGGTGACAACACTCAATGCTGACTTGACAATGTCCAGTTAGGATATTGCAGATGTCCACACATCTAGTAATGGGAATTGTTGGTGGAATTAGTATATTGTGTGAAAACAAATAGCTGGAAGTCATAAAGAGTGATTCAAAGTTGCTCTCTGTGCTCATACAACTAAGATAACAATGCATAATTTCACTCTAGGTATTTACAACAGTCGGCTGTTGGATTCCCTTCCTCTCTCTATTGTCAGATGTCAGTCTCTAATCTCTCTCAGGGATTTGGAATCCTCTCAGGCCTTTGCACCGTCCACTTTCCTTTCTCGTCTGTGTGTCGACGAGTTGAGTTGTCAAGTTGAGATGCCTGTCTACACACACACACACACACACACACACACACACACACACACACACACACACACACACACACACACACACACACACACACACACACACACACACACACACACACACACACACACACACACACACACACACACACACACACACACACACACACACACACACACACACAGAGAGACAATGAATTTATTGGCAGTCCCAAGTGTATCTTTTCTGTCCATTTAACTGTTTCTATGTGGGGAAGTGTTTGGTGTTGATATGCAGCACTTTGAGGTCTGATTCAATTACAATAATGGGAACATGTAACCAGAAAACATTTTTAACCAGGCACCCTAGATCACATTACAGTCTGTAGTGCTCTGATGAACTGCACAAATAAGAGTCAGGGCTGGAGACAGAGCACATTTAGAGACACGAAAGGGGATTTTTCATTATCTTGAGATGTTAATTGCAGGAGTTGTGTGTATGATAAGCTTCATAAATGTATAGTGCTATAATGCAATGCAGGTTTGAGTTACTCCAGTCTACTTGTATTTAACCTTCACAAATATTTAGCATCAGTATGTCAGGTCACTAGAATCATTCTGTTTTTATGTTCTTCAGTAAAAGTAATATAATACCTCATAGTCATATATGAAGACTACGCACAGTATTTTTGCTCTATGGTCCGTCAATGGAGGTTACTGTTAATTCAACGCGCTTCTTATGCATAGGTTTCTAGTGTATAGTAACAGGTACAGTAAATTATGTTACCCAGCAGTACATCAAAATGACACCCTAAAAGTGAAGGTGTAATATAGAATATATTCCAACTTCAGTACTTCTTATAGATATACAAAAAATGATAATTTCATGAAAGGTCATGTAGGAATTCAATTTCCAACTGATATTTTTTAAGATTATCCCCAGGATGTCCTTTGAATATGAATGTATTGAGTTGTTCTTTCACCTTTCTTCCCTTTAGTACCCTGGGGAGTTTTTAAACTCTTGTTTTAAGTGAACTTCACATGTTTACACACACAATTGTTGATGCGAGAGCAGCATAATGTGTGTGTGTGTGTGTGTGGAAGAGTGGCCGAGAGTTACACTGAATATAAACAGAACTTCAGTTTGTTCACTGCAAAACGTCACAAGGCACAGATCTTCAATCCAAAATAGGTGTGTGATCATAACTGAATCCAAAAATATATGATTTTAAAAGTGTCCACATGCAGCTCCACCAAGTTATTAAAAGGTAAGAAGTGTATCTGTGTGAGTGTGCAGCAGAATCATAATAGTGAATTTGGCCAGTGTAGTGTTTTGTGTTCTGTTCATTTCGGTGTTGGCTCACTGCATCCACTGCAATTACTGCTTCTCTCAGAACCCTTCTGAAATCCCTATAAAAAAAAACATGGTCTTCTGCGAGTGTGTTTGTGTTTGTGTGTGGCTGCCACCCAAGGTTGTTCCTACAACATGTTGTCTTTTGAGATTCATTGCCTTAAGCAGCGATGATGTGCTCTCAGCAAGACATGCCAAGACTGCTGGCTGCAGCCCAATATGAGGGGTGAAAAAGAAAGAGAGAGATGCTCGTGCCTAATCCAATGATTTGGTTTAGTTTGAATAAAATATTTATTTGGATTGTGAGAGCTAAGTAATTACTGAGAGTCTTGATTCTGTTTAAGAATGTCAGATGAAAACCCCTGATGTGTGCTGCTCATCGTTGCCCAGAATAGTGTATAAACGTTAGCACGATGTTAGGCACAGAGCGATGTTCGTTAGAAGTTTCTTCTTAAAACTTTGTCCAAGATATCATAGTTATAATTGTTGCTGCATAAATAGTAATATTGTGTCTTGTTATTATGACAATAATAAAGAACAAATTCAACTATCCTTTTGGTAATGCCAACATTCTAGCGAACCTGTTTTACACTTTTACATTGATTGGATTTGTTAACAATGACTGTCAGCAGGGGGAAAGCCTCCGGAGTAAAGTGTCACAGCCCTCTATGGGGTTAAACATCAGAGGCTATACAGTAGATGGATGGACTTTAAGTGGTTGTGGCCAAACAAGGCTGATTGACCTGACGATTCAGGGGAAATGTTGTTAGTTAAACAGAAGGAGAATATTTGAATTCAATAGTTAAAGGTGGGGTAGGTAAGTTTGAGAAACCGGCTCGAGATACACTTTTTGTTTTATTCCATGGAATGCTCTTAACATCCCGATAGCAATGAATATCTTAAGTGCTTTGACAAAAAATCCATACAAAAATTTCATCTGCGGAAGCCGTAGTACTGTAAAAAGCACGACCAATCATTTTAGCCGGCCCGGCTAAAATAACTGGATGGCCTACCTGCCTGTTAGCCTTCCATCTGTGCACAAACTTATTTCGTGCCCTCATTGGTCATGTGCGCGTTCGTGTGTGTTGGAGGAGGGGCTCTGTAAGGAAGTGGCAGATTTGTTCCGGCTGTGTATTTTCAAATTCTAGCGCACTCGAGCTGGTTTCTCCAAAATGACCTACCCCACCTTTAAGTTCTAAAAACATGTTTGTTTAGGATCAACATTATAATAGTTTATACAATTCTTAAATAAGAGGTCACAAAAGTAAAAACGAAGAAAAAAGATTCACTAGAAACCGTAATGTTATGCTAGCCTACTTAATAAGAAAACAGTGAATCATACTCATAGTCTCTGCCAATGAGGTATTATTGTTGAAGGATCTGTTGAAATGATGCCGTAGAATTAATGATGATAATGGATATGATATTTAGATATATGCAATGTGAACCTTACAACCTTGCACTGCAAAATCAAACCACCTCATTACTACTTCAAGCCGACTGCAGCAAACATTGACCAAACAGACATCTATCTGATCCTTAAACTCAAAACATGGATTTAATTATCTGTCACAACATTTTTAGGAATATGGAGAATTTATGTCATGAAAATGCTTCAAAAATAGTAACTGTACTATTAAACATCTTTCAAGGTCTCATGATTCTACATTCACATGTCTTACACTGAACTGCCTCAAAGCCTGGTGATTATACTGACCTTCTGCTTGCTTCAGCTTCCTCTTCTCCCTCTTCTTTATCAACTATGTTCGCATATTTTTGTTAATAATAAAGGCACTGTTATTGATTATAATTTCTTTTTTTTTCAGGGACATATTGCCTTCTACACTCTGATAATCAGGAAGTTTGATATTTCCTAAGTGTCTATTTCCTTCACTCCAGCTGCAAACAGAGACACTGCTTGTGATAAACCAACAGCTCGTGCTGAGGCCAGAAATGCAAGGGCCCTTTACACACACACACACACACACACACACACACACACACACACACACACACACACACACACACACACACACACACACACACACACACACACACACACACACACGTACACGTAAACCCACACGCGCGCACGTGCAACCCAATGGTGGCAATGAGCTAAAACACGCCCCCCTGTGGCCAAGTTGGAAAGTAAAAAATCCTCCGGAACAATGAGAGTATAGGGGCCAGTCCATAGACGTGTATGTGTGTGTGTGTGAGAGAGAGAGAGAGATAGAGAGAGAGAGCGAGAGAGAGAATGTGTGTATGTGGGCTTCACACCACTTTTTGCTGTCACAAATAATTGGTCCACGGGGAGGGGTGATGGTGTTAGGGCTTCTCCATTAGCTAACTAAGAACACTTTCGGAGAGCCTTTCACTTCTAATTGGCACCCACGATTGGTGGCACCGAAGCTGGCAAACTCCACCAAAGAGACGAAAAAAAAAACACTGGTGCCCCCTTTGGCTCAGGATACACCCTATTGCACTCAAAGGGGTTGAAAACCCTATTTCATAAGAGACCAGCAGGAGAGTAAGGAGAGCAATGTTGTTCTTTTGACAACCTGTTCAGTGTGGAGCTGTGAGGCTGGAGCGCATCTATGTGGAAGCCTCTGTCCTCCCTCCCCTCCAATCCCCTCCCTCCCTCCCTCCATCCCTCTCTCTCTCTCTCCCTGCACAGACAGGGGCGGTCGTTCTCAGTCTGCGCACATATTCCACTTGGCCAGCATCACTTGGAGTCCACAGACACAGCGCTGATTGACCGAGCAGAGGGGAGCTCATTTTCAGAGCGCATGATTGTGTTAGAAGGGCTTCAGTAGACTGTCAGAGGAAAAGATAGACAGAGCAAAGCCATTTCAACCACGCCTTTAAAAGTAAATAAGTAAATAATCCTCAAAAGAGACTGTGTTATAGGATTTTACTTGAGTTTGTCAAAGGGGATTTGGTTTTTATGTTTATCTCTAGGAGGAGGGACTCCGAGCAGCACTGAGGTTCCTCTGCCCGCTTCTTCTTGTGCGTAAAACAAAACTTTAACACACCAAGACGATCATTTGAGAGAGCTCAGAAAATCTCCTCTATACTCCCCGGGAATTGTAAAGCTCACACCGGACGCCCACTGGAGGAGGATATATAACTTTTCAACGCATTTTGTGGAGAGACACGGAGGTGGATTTGTCTAACGGAGAGCGGAGGGATCCTCTTCGCTGAGCCGGGAGGAGCGCGCGCAGCTCCGGGTAGCAGACTGACCCAAAGGACTGCAGTTTAGAGAAAAAGGTAGAGACGAGACATTCCTGCACAGAGAGACTACGTGATTTATTCTTGTCAAGGTTTCATATTTGATCTATTACGTGTCCAAGTTGAGCATGAAAAGTGGATGTTTTAGTGAGGCAGTTTTCTATTTAATGTAATCTGTTCCACATCAGAATCAAAGCCGGTTAATGTCTCCCCGGTAATATTTAAATCCTGGGACTTCAAACCCTCCGTCGCTTTTACGCAGGCGATATAAGGATCTACTAAACTGCATGTCAGACAGTATAGCCAGTCTCATTCAGCGCGCCCTGACAGTAATGCAGAGTATTAACTCGCATGAATTGTATAATGAAACTTTGATCACGACGAGCTGTGTAATGCAACCTGTCAATGCAGCCGGATTTATTCATATAATCGCAGAAGTCGAAGGAAATCCTCATGCTCGGTCAGAAGCGTCACATAAGACTCAAGTTATTAGCCTCTGACTCCAACAGCTTTCTATCTTTTCTTTAAGTTTTCCAACAGGTTTTAAATAGCTCCTATAAGACGGTGGTTCAAATACCAGGATAAACAATAAAGTGTTTTTTCCCTATAGGCGTAAACCTTTAACCCTCTGGCTGCTTCGGAAACATTGGAATAATTATATTGATCTGAACAAAAGGGCTGCGTGTATGTGTGGGTGTTGGGATCCAATGTGCATGACCCCACTTGTTGTAGCTAATCCCCCATGAATACTGCAGTCTGTTATATTCCTCCTGTCCTGAATACACCTGCCCCCTCCACCCGGGCAAGGAAGTTTAGTCACGCTTAACAGCAGACAATCCTGTCAATCCTCAATTCTGAATCAATCACAAGCGGAACCTGCTTGTAAACCTTTAATCCGCGATTTGTGATTGAATTACCTGTCATTTAAATCGAATGAAACGATGTAGGCTGATCGGCTGGGAGCGTAATTGCTCTGTGATATTATTCCCTCGGCTAAAGGGGTTCAAGGCGACATAGTTGAAAAACAAATAGCAAGTAGCCTACATCTTCTTCATTTTTTGATAACAATCATTCAGCTGTCGCCTCTTGTTTGTCCCATATATCTGCAGGCTGTTGCTCTGTTTTCACCTCTTTCTCCCTCTGTCTCCTTCTCTCTTAGGTTATGACGGAACTGAGCTGAACATGGAGCTTTTTTGGATTTTGTTATTTTCTAGTTTCTATCCTCATGCCTCTGGCCAAGGAGTTTACGGTAAGAACGCGATATTTACACATGTATTCCTGTTACCACATCAATGCATACTGTATTAGTGCAGGATGACTGATCTCCGTTGCAGCAGCGATGTTAATTTGTCCAATTATTAGTCCATGACCCTAATTAAGGGCTTCTCCGCGCCACATGTTGCCGCGTTTTAGCACGACGCGGAGGAGGCACTATGATAACTGGTGTTTAAACTACTGCGAGAATGGCTTCAGGGAGATCGACAGCAAATTAACTTGAAAGGGAGATATTGCTTTTTAGAAGTCGCAGTAGGCGGCTGGGAAAATATCCAGCAATGTAGTGGAGGGGAAACCCATCTATTGTAAATCCATGTAATTCAATTTTTTAGGCTGATATATATCTTAAAATCCACACCAGGCCCACAAATTAATGTTTTATTACACAAAGTATGATTAAACTTTAAATTATTATTTAAGGTTTATGGTTATACTGAATTGGGTCTATAGTTTGGCCACTATTTAACTTCCCACTATTTCCTATGTACACACAGACAAGAGGTCTCAACAGGAGGATAATGGTAAAGCTCTCTGATACATAACTCTCCTTTGTCAGGTTAAACAGGACAGTCACACTGCGCTTTTGAGGATAAAGCGGAGATTTGTTTCCTCTTAAGACTGTCTCGCTGTACTACTACATACACTCTGTTTCTGTAGCTACAGGCCAGATATGCATCCTCCTGTCCTGTCCCTTCGGGCAATGCAAACACACAAACTGTTCTGTCAGCTTTGATACTTTGATTTTGATGTTTGAAGGCATGTGGCAGCCATCGAAAACGAGGTCTGTTTAGTAGCATCACATGGAGTGCTGTTGTCACAAGCAATCCTGCTGCCTGCCGTCACACTAAGAAATGCTGACAATCTGTCATTTGCTGAAGCATGTAGGCCCATGTCGAAGTCCCTGCTAACTAATCAGGCTTACACCACTCTAATACTTCATACTGGTGTCAGTATTAGTGTGCATTTACAATTCTCAGATCTTTTCTCGGCGTGTGTTTGGTTGTGACCACCAGTTGAAGCATTGCACTGATGCCTTAAACTGAAGGTTTTTCCAGAATCTGTTGTAGCTGTGTGACCCACAGCTGCAGGCAGAGCTGTGACTGACAGATATAATCTCAACAATGATTTTTTTGTTCTCTATCTGTTTTATAGGAAATGTCAAACATGGCCTTACAATGAAAAACAATGTACCTGATTTTAGTAGCATTCTAATCTGGAATCAGTTTTACTGGTGTACAGGCTTTGATGAAGCAATGATTTACCATCAATCTATTATGTTTCTGCCAAAAATATTCCCAGCATAAATATATTGGGAATTTTGCAATAGGTTTGTGAGTGCAGTTAGAAAAATATAGGTTTTTCAGAACGTATGAGTTTCAGGGTTGACTTTTGTTTAATTTTTTTCATCAGTTGTCTTCCCACAGTTACTCTTCTGATCTAGTTACGCTGTGCTGCATAAGGCTCACATTTCCAGTTTGCCCTTGTGCACTTGCCCTTTTCAGAAAACTGGCTTATATTCTGATTGTCTAATTTGTGCAGCAGTGCCTTATGTTCTAAGTCACAAACATGCAGTGGCTTGAATAAAAAAAGTATACAGTTAGTGCCAGTACCGGAGGCTGCAATGATCTTGTTTTTTATGATAGTTTATTTCCCCAAAGCTTTGTGGGAACCATGCTTGCCTGCATTCACAGGGCCCAGAGTCCCAGGTGGCTTGTGTAATTTTTAGGAGACAGGGTTGAGCTGTGCGTACCTGCACAACAACTTTTTCATGTATAGGTAAATAAGCATCAATAAAAAGAGTCATTCAGAAGGAACAAATTGTTTCATAATCTGCACAATTGCTGTGAAGAACACAAGTGGGGAAGATTGGGAAGAGAGCCAAGCGAGTTTGGCACGCTCGCTAGCTATGAATACAGATATGCATAAAATGGTTTCCCTCACTTTGGAATTGTTTAGCACTTCCTCCAGCAGACAGATGCGACTCGCTGTCCGTCGGGAGCTGAACGGTGTAAGCGGGCTGATTGATGTCAGCGTTTTGGACGGCTGTGAGGTTCATTTACTGTAGCCTTCTCTGGGGTGTGTTTGGATGCATGCGTTTTTGTCAGCTCATGCCTCTAAGTCTGTTGCACGCAGGTGTTCGTGCTCGTGACTGTAAATGTGAGTTCACGTGCCAATTGCATGGATGTGAAGCGTGTGAGGCCTCAAACCTGTGAGCCTGTGTGTGTTTCCACCTACATGTATGAGTGGGACTTGTTTGTGCGGCAGACGCGCTTTCCTTCCCACGGCAACAGTTTGCTTGCTCAGCAGGGACTTCTGGATCAGTCCCTGTTTCTCTTGCAGTGGTGTAGTATTGATTGTACTTCTGTGAATGTTGATAGGCTGTCAAAAAGCTTGTAACACCTGTCCCTCAAATAGGTATTGGACAGACACTCGCAGCAAGGAAATGCAATGATTTATTCCTAAAGAAAAGCTTGCACCATATGCTTAATTCACATTATGCTTTGTTATGCATGATTATAATATCATTTTTAAGTAGCATATACATTTTTTACGAGTCTTCTCTTTTCTTTCTTACATATGCATCTCCACACTCTGATCACAAACATCTACTGTATGTAAAGGCCTACATATACAGTCATTTTCAAGTTTCATTTAATTTGAATATGCTGTAATCCCGGGCATTACAAGCATGATGTCACAACTCTTAACATACTTAAGGATTAGAGGAGGTTCAGAAAGATTCAAGACAGGCTTGCAGGATGAGTCTCGTCTGAAGGACTAAACAGTTACAATATCATACAGACAAAGTGAACCAGAAAAGTGTCTCTTCATGTTTGTGGCGCTGCATCACATCACACTCTGCGAGGCAACAGAGTTCACAGGGACACCAAATTATTGATTGCTTGTCAAAGTCACACAAAACCATTAGCTGGTGCCGTAGATGGAATCCAAACTGCATTAGCTTGCAATCGGATGCTTCATTATGTGCTTGTTAACAGGAAATTGAATGAAGTTAAATCAATGATTTTGTTTGTGTTTTTTGTGTGTTAGATTTAAGCAAGGCTCTTGCAGCAGCAGGAGAGCCGAGGCCTTGCCACTGGCCATAGAACAAAGCACTACAAGAGATGCAGAAAGCGGAAAAGTTGAATATGCTTACATTGCGCACAAATTTAACATCACTTTGAAGATGTTGCCCAAGGAAGAATGACTGGCTTGGAAAACATTGCTAGTTTTTTATTTGCTGTCTGTCTCCGTGTGTGTGTAGACGAGTACCCAACATTTGTGCATCGTCTTAATGCAGAGCTCTACTTGCTGCAGTACATTATCTTGCCATGGAACATGGGTTGAGAGCCAGTGACCTAGAAAGACATGGTTCCAGGTTTAACTGACCTGTCCCCTGTGACTTTAATTCTTCCTCTCCCCACATCAGCACTTTTTGTTTGTCTCTTTTATGTCTCTTGCTGCTGAGTTTATTTTGGATGCTGAATATTGCCCTTTTCTAATAAGCATCCATAATTTATCGGTGGCTCTGAGGCAATGGAGGAGGGGAGGGGAGATGGTGATGGAAAGAGACTGAAGCATTAAGCTAGAGATGATGATAACCTCCCACAATCTGACACCTACTGTCCTCCTCCCACTCTTTACCGCTTTGCGTTATTTCTATTCACTCTACTCATAGGTACGCACACATGCATTCACACACACGCGCACGCACCTCTTTTTGCTTTACAAATGGCACCCTCTCCACATAAATGTGATCACTAATGTCAGCAGTTGTTGGATGGCCTTTCCCTCTGTATGAGGTTTGATTAAAATCCTTTGAATTGAGTTAGTGGTGCTGAAACTGTTTTTCCATCTGTTCAAATTAATACTAGATGGATAGATGGATGGATAGAAAACGGATTGTTAGCCAGGGTCTTCATTGTTTGGAATGCATATCAGATTCTCCATCATTCATCACAATCAAAAATGAAAATGTGACAAGAGTAGTGACGGGAGTGGTGGTATCTGCCTGCTCCCTTTCTTAGTCTCCTGTCCCTTCCTCTTTTGCTGTCAGTCCAACCCATCTTATCCCTCCTGCTAAACATTTTAGTGCACTTGGTGGGTGCTTTAATTATCCCGTTATGCTCCCATTTTTTCTTTTTCGCGTTAACTAAGTCCATTGTGTAGTGGTGTAGCCCTTGATGCCTTAATATTAAAAAGGTGCTACCATGGGAATATACATTATACAGTATGCTGCCTTGTTTTGATGCTTGCTCAGCTTATTCTTTGCCACTTTCTTACCCCTTTATTCTTCTGTTTCCTCCTCTCCGCTTCTTACTTCTCTCCTCTCCATTATCCTAGTTTTCTGTAAGGGTGACCGGATATTAAAGCCTGACAACATTTCTATTAACCTACAGGTCAGCAGCAGAGCCATAGGCCTGTAGCCAAAGTGATGTGTTGACTATGGTTTACACTAGCCCTGCAACCTGGGGGTAGAGGATAAGAGTGCTAAGACAACTCTTTGGGAGGTCTGATTTATCACCTTTCTTCCCACCAGTTACACTCTGAGCCCGGGATGGGCAGTTTGGCACACAGGGGCCCCAAGTGAGGTGAGAACGTAATATTTCTCCTTTGAAATCACAGCCTGGCAAGCCTTGGTGTGATATATGTATATCGAAGTGTAAGCTGTCTCGCTGCCTCTTATGCTTGTCTTACATACAGGATATTGTTAATGTGTTGGGCAGTGTGTGCTCCTTCAGCCAGACATAATACATTGGGTGTCCTCTCTCAAAAAGTGAATTTGACTTTGCTCACAGATAGCACGAGTCAGTGGTGAGGAGTATGTCATTTAAGGTAACAGTTTGACAATTTGGGACATGGATTTTCTTTCTTGTAGAGAGTTATGTGAGAAGATGTCACTCTCATGTCTGTTTATTGAATATGTCAAGAGCCTGTTTGAAAGGCTGTATAGCTGGAAACTTCAATCTTCTA